TCATTGGGACACTCAAACCCCTCCACCATGATAAGGTAGCAGCCCAAGGAGAGGCAACCTTTACATCAATGTTAATTTTATGCTACATCATTACTTCAACAGAAACATTGGGAAGTTTCTGCCAGAAATGTGCCAAAGCTGCACCAGACTACAACTTGTTGCTACAGCTATTTGTGCTTGTAAAAAAAATATGTAACACACAACCTATGGACAAGTAAAGGTTTATAAAAGAGCTGAACGGCTCTGAACTGGAGTTGTGTGAAAAGCTATCCTCAGCATGTAAGATACTGTTAATTCATTTTCCACAGAACCCCCACTTCAAAACAACTGGATTATTGCTTTAATTTGCACATTTTTCTAAAGTGATGCTATATTTGCAGTTCTGATGTTATCAATTCACACAGCTGTGAAGCATATGTCAGATTGAATACATTTCAGATTAAAATTTGATTTATTTTTTTATGTAAGTGTAGGAGTAAATTGTGTGTTCTTATTTGAACTCTTTGTTTTTAAGGTGAAGGAAACTAAAAGACAATTTAGAGAACATGACCCACATCCTCACCAGAAATGAACGGGTTCCTTCTTTACTTGTTTAACTCCTTGTCGCAAGAATTTTGAGAAAGTTTCAGTTTTAAATATTAGTACTGACTGAGTAGTGGCTGGGGTGCCGAAGAGGATTAGGGCCCACATTGCAGAAAAAAATAAACAAATCTGGAGTTGTGAGTTGTTTTTGTCAGAATTCTGATGAAAAGTCTGACTTTTTTCCCATTCTGATGTTTTTCATAAAAATATTTTTGCTCCATGGCTCAAAGTGCAAATAAATAAATAAATAAATAAATAAAGTTTAAATGTCTACTCAGCTTGCAACAACATAGCATAAAATATCTGACACAATTATTATGCAGCATGCTGAGCATCTGGCAGCACTATAACCAGGGGTGCACATCAAATTTTGGGTCTGGTTCTCAGGGGAGAACCTAGTGCTGTTGCTTGTTGCTCATATTTTCCTTAACTCATTTAACACATTTCTTTAGAGAGGTGTCAGGGCATCTTAACGTCCCCCTGTTCTGTTTTATGATGCCTTCTATCAGCTGGCAATGTCCCAGGACATCATGCCAAATCAGTCCGCTGAGGTTTTTTTTATTTTATTTTCTTACTCTGCATAAATTTTGTTCAGAAACAGTTCGTTTCCAGCGTTGGTCCGGACTTTTGGTGCAGGTGTGAATACACTCATGCGAACTCTGGTGCGGATCAAACTGGACCGAGACCCGCTTTTTGAGGTGGTCTGGTCCACTTCCAAATGAACTCTGGTGCGG